AATAAATGAAGTGATCTACAATGCTATTTGCTTCATGATTTAGCACAGGAAACGGTAAGATATGTGGCATGGGTTGGCTTTTGGGTAGAGCCCCAACAAATTATCAAGGACACTCACCAAAAGTCCTCCAGACGTATTTCTCCAAAAGGAGAACCAACTCAGTAGTGTTTACAGGATCAGCTTTACCTTCTGGCAAGCCTGCTCTTCTATACACCTCAGCCTTTACAGGGAGTTTGATTTCATGACTTGTACTAGACATTTTGCATCAAGGCCAAATGCTATACATTCCCAATCCAAACTCCGGGGGAGAGCAAATATCAAACAATGGATCACCACTGAAGGGTGGTAGTTGCCAGGCAGACACTGTGGCTTCAATGTCTTCTGAGGCACATAAAGATTTCCAGTGATCTGGAAATTCAGGCCAGATGGCTCCTGTGAGACCCAGGCAACTGACAGTCAGTGGCAGCCCATGTACTTCCCACATGAAAGGGTTAAATCCATTATGCAGACATCTCATCCAGAGTGCAGTTGTCATGGCCATGCACATTGCAATATGTATAGTCTTTTAAAGCTATAAAAAGGCCAATTCCACCCCTTACAGAAATGTAATGCACCCACATTGACCAAACAAAAATGCAATCATTGTTTTTTTTGTTGCAAAGCAACCAATGGATCATAGTTGCAGTGTGCATGCTCCTTCAGAGTATTCCTCAATCCCCAGGCATACTACTCCTCCAGCCCCAGTTGATCACAGGCGCAAGTATGTACATGGTGCCGCACACTCCAGGGATAACATGCAATGCTCAAGTTCCTGTAGACTTTTCCCTCCATCTCTAGGCCCATACTGGAGGCATTGGGGCTGGAGGAAGAAGAAGCCAATGGACTACAAATGGGGTGACATCAATGCACTTGCAGTCCATTGAGATCGTCAAGGCCCTCCACCATTACAAACACATTCTAGGATAACCACCAACCTGGGAAGTCCAGCAGCGACGTCACATCAGGAACAGCAATCAGAAAGCATAGAAATAAAAATCTGTAAAATGAAAAGAAAAATTATAATAAATAAAAGAAAAAAAATATCACCACTGAGAAAAAAAAACATTACATGGAAACAAAATACATTACCCAAAATCTCTAAAACAGCCACTCCAAGGTGTGGGCACCATTGTGTCTTTAGGGTTGAGCCCCTTCAATAAGTCCTTAAAATCCAATAATGTAATTCCCCAGCACTGAGTCCAACCAGTACACAGCTTCCCCAGAGAACACAATAGCAGGATGAGGTGAGGGGACGTATTTATAGCCAGGTCATTAGGAGTCCACCTTCCATGCTTGCTGGTTGGTGTAATGAGGACACCCCCAGCTGGTCTCAATTGACCGATGATTTGTAGGGGGAAGGGGGAAGTAGAAGTGTTACAGGAGATGCAGAAAATCCAATGATCAGTTCTGCCATACAGCAAGGCAATGCTATGCGAGCGCAATGAGGCAGATAGCGGGACAGGTTCACTATGACACCCCATTCACACTGAGCGACATGGATACTGTGCTTTTTTCCAGCGCTGAGCGGCTAGGAGCGACATTGCGCGATATTGAGCGACATTGCACATTTAATCGCGCTACATAGCGCGTTTTTTGGGTGGGACTTTGTCGCTGCTACATCGGGCTGTAACCAATCAACAGCGATCTAAATGTGACATCATTCTTTCCTTCCATTTTGCAGTGCAAAAGTGACCCTTCTGTAGCCGCGATATCGCGCAATATCGCCGGTAATGCGTGATTTTGCGCGACACTATAGAGTCTATTGGAGCCGAATCACGCGACATCAGCACAAAAAAAGGGTTGTGTACGAGCGACGAGCTACAGGCGACATTGAGCTTTGAGATGTGAACAGCTCCATTGAAATGCATCGGACGAGCTACGTAGAGCGATATCGCGCGGAAATATACGCGATTTTGCGGCGGAAATTGCGCCATAGACAGAAAACAATGGTAATCCTCTTGTTCTGCGTTGTTGCACTTTGATGTGCAACAACGCAGAATAATAATATGTGCAAATGTGTGTTAAATCGCACAGGTGCGAGGGGGGGGCCTGGTACACTAGCTGCATGCGTTTTTTTTATTGTTTTAATGTTTTATGCAATTTTTGTTTTCCTCAGTGAAAGTGAAATAAAGTAGAGGTTGTCATTTAGGGGGTGGGGTCCTTGATGCCATGCAGTAAAATGCTCACATGTCCATGTTACATGCATTTTTCATGCACTTCCTTTAAGTCTATGGATCCAACGCACTAACAGAAGCACCTGCGCCATTTTCCACGGTGCACAGAAGTGTGTTCCAATAGGTGTGAATGGGGCCCCATAGAAAATAATGGAATTCCTTTGGTGGTGCATTGTCACGTGACAACTGGAGGACGTGAAGACTAGTGTCTGCTGTGTGCCAGCTGTGTGTGTGTGCCAGCTGTGTGTGTGTGCCGTGTGTGTCTGCTGTGTGCCAGCTGTGTGTGTGTGCCAGCTGTGTGTGTGTGCCGTGTGTGTGTACATTTAAAAAATTTCCGATTTTGCTAGGTTTATTTTCTAAAGTGGACAAAATCCCTAAGGCAGAGAGGTCTTGGAGCAAATTTGGGAGGGAGATGCGAGGTTGCTGCACGTAAAACAAAATGTCATCCGCATAAGCAGCAAGTTTGTAATGCTGGTTACCAATCCGGATACCATGTATATCGGGGTTCACACAAATCATAGCCAAAAGCAGTTCTAGGGATATGGCAAATAACAAGGGTGAAAGAGGACACCCCTGCCTAGAGCTCATCGAAGCTGGCCCCCCTACAATTGGCACAAATAAAAACTCCAGTGTGTTTCTTTAGTGCTACACTTGTGCTGTTTTGTGCCACAAAAATTAACATTTGTGCTGCTTTCATTTTTAAGATAATAGCAACTGGTTTTTTTTTTTTTTTTTAAGATGATGACATCACCCTGCCCCTCCAACAACAGCAAAAAGACATGTAACCGGGCTGGCTGGTTAGTTCCATGCTGTCAGGGCACAATAAAAAACAAGACAAGTGAAAGGTGCTAGTTAAAATATTTATTAAGAACAGTGTGCAGAGGAGCAAGCAGAATCATAAACCGGAACAAGCCAAAGTCAGGAGCTGCAGTCGGTAGTCGTACAAGCCAGGTCAGGAACACAGAGATCAACGTTGTAAGGAACAAGCCAGGAGCCAGGAAATCAGCGTCGTCAGGAACAAGCCAGGAGCAGGAGCCAGAGGAGAACGTCAGCCAGGATCGGGTCTTACACAGAATCAGCATACTCAGAGCAGCAGGAATGCAATAGCAGGGAGACCACGCAAGGTAAGGTCAGACAGGACTGAGTGGTTTATATATAGTGAGTGGGGCGACATCATCACTCAGAGACAGGAAACTCCCATCTGACTCTCTCAGATGATGTTCTCCTGTCTGGCCAGAAGAGGGAGCCGGGGAGTAGTGAACAACGTTCCAGAGTCTGTTCAGGCAAAGAAGGAAACACAGGTGAGTAAAATGGCAGCCAAGCCAGAATGCTGCAAACCAGTAAAGTCAGGGAGGAACCTACACACATGTTTGTGCTGGTTTGTACAGTTTAAGTCTCCATTCTATCTCCTTTCTTTTTTGAGTTATTAACTATTTATTAAGGGTCACTAAAGGTCACCCAGTCCCCAAAGAGCCAAAAGATACGTAACCGGGTTAGCTGGGTTAGTGTCACATTTGTGCTGGTTTGTGCCATAAAAATTAACATTTGTGCTGCTTTTATTTTTTAAATAACGACAATTATCCTAAAACCTTTGGTGATCTATAATTCTTATTGTCTTAAAAATGAAAGCAGCACAAATGTTAATTTTTGCGGCACAAAACAGCACAAACGTGGCACTAACCAAGCAGCAAGTTTCATGTCTTGTGGCTGTTGTAGGGGGGCTGGATTACGTCATCATCTTAAAGGAGAACTATGAGGCGGGTGCTTTTCACTCACCTCACAGTTCTAGCCGACCTGTGACAATGAGACTGTCACAGGTCGGCTCAGTAGATCGGGAGGTGAGCGAACACATACCGGCGTTCGCTCACCTCTCAATCCTGTCATAGCTCTCTGCCGTGACAGGGGAGGCGCTGGATTCCCCCCTCCCTGATCCGCCAGCGCTGACTGGCGGAACGGACGGGGGAGGGGGCGGGTACAGCTGGCTCTGCCTTTAGATAGGCAGGGCCAGCTGTCAGTCACGCAGCTGGGCAGATCCAGACATAATTGTCGGGATCCGCTTCAGCTGCGGCGTCTCAGTATAACGCGAGCTACAGCTTGCGGTATACTGAGCCTAGGGTGACGGGAGAACGCTAGTTTGTGTCCTCCCGTTACCCTAAGGAGAACTATGGGGAAGAGACTTAACCCCATAGTTCTCCTTTAAAAAAACAGTTGCTCTTATATTAAAAAATAAAAGCAGCACAAACGTAGAAACACACTGGAGTTTTTATTTGTGCCGATTGTAGGGGGGGGGGGGGGGACAAGACCCCAATAAAACATATGCTAGCCATTGGGGAAACATAAAAGGCCCTTATACAATTGTACTTCATTGGGACAAGTCCAAAATGGTGTAAGGTAGTAAAAAGATTCTCCCAGTCCACCCTATCGAAAGCTAGGAACTTTGTGCATTCCTCTACCGGACGATTTGTTCCGTCCACCAGATCCTCTAGGGATAAAAGTGATCAATGGCTATTGGACCATCAGCTCTCCCATTTCTGTAGCAATCTACAGTTCCGGACAGATTCTCAGAGCTTTGACTCAATTTGGACATACACTTACCCTATTGGAACCTCCGCGTCATATGATATCTATAATCACCTATATGGGGATTCTCTGGAGCCATCCCCCCGAAGTGGCCCTTTTGTCTCTCCTTCCGGGTTCCTGAAAAAGCCAAAAGCAGATTTTATTATGCCATTTCCTGGCTGCAGCCCATCAGCTTATCCTCATTTTTTGGAAGAAGCCCATTACGCCTCTGACCTCCTTCTGGGTAAGTCATGTGAACGATATTATATGGATGGAGGAACTTCTCGTCTCGGACACTAACACCTCCAATCGTTTTCGGCTTAATGGTCCAAATGGCTACATTTTTCAACTTCTGATGATTTTTGCAGATTGTTATGAACCCCCACCCTGTGAGCTGCATATTTTGTCACTCTTTGGGTCATCAAATCCATTATTCTATGCTCTTGCTTTGTTTTTCTTCCTTTTATCTCTTTTCCATGTCTTTTACATTTCTTATCGCTGATCCTCTCAATCCCTATCCTTTCCCTTTCTTCTCTTTAAAGGAGAACTATGGGGTGAAGGCTTTTCCCCATAGTTCTCCTTAGGGTAACGGGAGGACACAAACTAGCGTCCTCCCGTCACCCTAGGCTCAGTATACCGCGAGCTGTTGCTCGCGGTATACTGAGACGCTGAAGCGGATCCTGACAATTGTGCCGGGATCCGCCCAGCTGCATGACTGACAGCTGGCTCTGCCTATCTAGAGGCAGAGCCAGCTGTACCCGCCCCCTCCCCCGTCCGTTCCGCCAGACAGCGCTGGCGGATCGGAGCGGGGAATCCAGCCCCTCCCCTGTCATGGCAGAGAGCCGTGACAGGATCGAGAGGTGAGCGAACGACGGGTTTGTGTTCGCTCACTTCCCAATCTACTGAGCCGACCTGTGACAGTCTCATTGTCACAGGTCGGCTAGAACTATGAGGTGAGTGAAAAGCACTCACCTCATAGTTCTCCTTTAACAAGCAATACATTTTGATAATACCTCTCACTATTTGGAAAGTTACCCATTTTGTTGGACTTTGTAGTATATTTCTAAACAACTTGTATACAGCAGTCCTGGCTATATATTTTGACCTAGATCATTTTAATCCTTCATACTGTTTTCCTACTGTATGTTCTTTATGGTTCATAGTAAGGATGCACAGATACTTTTCGAGTACCAGTGCCGATACTTGGCATTTTCATGAGAACTACCGGGGTTGCAGAGGTTGCAGCTGGGACCGGGCTCTGGCGCTCCACCACTGTCCTGAAGTCATTAGTCTGTATTGTTTTAGAGAAACTGTCACATGACAATAAACAAAAATGTATCAGTACTCGCAAAACTGGTATCTGTGCGTCACTATATTTATATTTATAAATCATACATTAAAACAGAGATGTACAAATCCCGGGAGCTCTGTGTGCTCCTTACACATGACAGCTTCCTCCTAATTTTTAAATTTTTCTCTAGTGTAGTCTTGGAGCTCAAAAGTATCGGTACTTGTACTCGTACTTGTACCGAGTACTGTACTTGGTATCTGCGCAACCCTAGTTCATAGCTACAGTATGTCATGGACTTGGATACTTTGCTTGCCATCTTTAAATTTTAGAATGTGACAAAAGGTCATAAAAATACCTCACACTCTCCCAGACGTTGGTAATTAGTATTATTTTTGCCCACTATAGAAAAAAATTTCTTTGAAAATAACATTTCCTGGTTTGGATCCAAAAATGTTGCCAACCTATTGCTCATCTCTGCTAGCAGGGCTGGAATATGGGTGAGCTCCACAAGCAGCGGCCATGTCATCAAGATTACTAGACATGTGCGATTCGTTTCGTTCCGAATCAAAATTCGGACGAATTTTCGGAAATTCGGACATTCGGATGTATCCGAATTCCGAATTACAGACATAACGAATGCAAACGAATCCGAATTTCCATTTCTGAAATTCGGTAGCGTTCGTACGAACGTTCGTTTCGTTTTCTTTTCTTATTCGTTTCGTTCGTTGGAGCAAAATGACATTAGAGAAGGAGAAAAATATTTTTTCCCCCTCAAATGTTACTTTTGCTGCAAACGAACGAAACGAATAAGAAACGAATAAGAACAGAAAACGAAACGAACGTTCGAACGAACGCTACCGAATTTCGTCCGAATCCGAATTCCGAATCCGAATTGACTTTCACACCTGAATCCTGAAAAACGAAATAACACAAATCCGAATTTAAAACGAAACGAAACTAAACGAATTTTTTGGCAGTGCACATGTCTAAAGATTACATTAGAGGAGATGATGATGCTGACGAGAGAGGTGGCAATAAGACTTGTTGTCAGAACCATAATCAGCAAGACAAAAGGTCACAAAACTGTGGATTAAGGTATTCGTGGGAGTTATAATTATGATTATTCAGGATTTATATAGTGCCTACAGTTTGCACAGAACTTTAAAAAATGAAGGGAGGCAGTACAGTTACAGTACAATTCAATACAGGAGGGTGAGGGGGGTGCTGCTCCAGAGAGCTTACAATCTAGTAGGTAGAAGTAATACAAAAGGTATTCATTGTGAGGGATGAGCTCATGGAAAAAGTACAGTTAGTATGTGGAGGTGGGATAGGCTTCTCAGCAGGATAACCTAAAGGTAGATAGTAGGGATGCACCAATATATCGGCCGCCGAAACATATCGGACGAAAATGGCACTTTTGGCTAAATGCCGAAAGTGCCATTTTCCTGCCGATACATGCGCGCATCCCTGCTTTCTTCTCTCCCCGCTGGGCGCTGCTCTGTGTCCCAGCGGGGAGGAGAGAAAGTGTGACAGCCAGCCGAGCGCTGCGGGAGGAGAGCGCTGTGACCGGCCGGCGTCTCCCCTCCCACACCGCTCAGCCTCCTATCACAGTCTGGCAGAGCGGTGTGTGGGCGGAGACAGCCCGCGCTGTCACAGGAGGATGAGCTCTTCGCCCGCACCGCTCGCTCAGCCTCCTGTGACAGCGTGTGTCAGGAAGTAGAGCGGTACAAGCAGTCAATTGATCACTGAGTGTTTGTAGATAATTGAGGACATGGTATGTTTACTATATCCTCAATTATGAATGAAGGGGAAGTGATCTAGATCCTCTCCTGTCCATTCATGATTGTGGTTATAGTAAACATGCCAAGTTATCAATGAACAGGAACACTCATAGAGGATTCCTGTTTTATAACAGGGGCTGGAGAAAAAGAGATCGAGGACTTTGTGTCTCTGAGGACTCTGTGTCCTCAATCTCTTTTTCTATTTAAAAAGGGAAATATCAGGGGTCTGTTTAGACCCCTAATATTTCCCCGAAGCCCAACAAAAATGTAAGTAAAAAATAAAAATATTTAATAAAAAATGAATAAATTAATACAAATAAATATTAAAAAATGTAAAGGTAGATAGAGTAAGAGATAGCTGACAGATGGTGGAAGGGAGTTGCAGAAAGTGGGAGAGGAGGTGGGCGGAGGTGATGAAGGAGCTAGAAAGCAGGAGGTCTTGAGAGGAGCGGAGTGGACAGTTTGGGTGATATTTTGAGATGAGGTTGGAGATGGATCTGGGAGCAGAGTTGTGGATAGCTTTGTAAATGGTTGTTAATATTAAAAAAAAAATCTCAATAGGCAAGGGGGGAGCCAGTGGAGGGATACAGATTGCTTACGATCATAGAGGAGGACAATAATGATATTTCAATATATGTATGTATTTTTTTATATTTATATTATATATATTTTAAACATAGGAGATACGTCCTATAAAAACTTCAGTGCCCCCCACTATAGCCAGCAATTGCTGGCTGTCAAAGTGATAGATGTTAATTTCAAATGATCAAGCTCAGGATTGTGCTTGGTTGCCTGTTTACTGGCACTTCAGCAGGGCTTCTGATGGCTTCGAACGAGGAAGCGATGAGAGCAGAGTGCTTCCTAATTCAGTGATTACAGAGCAGATCGGAGAGTGGACGTTCCTCGGTCTGCTCCCATTCTTTATCCTGACACTATTTACCATGGTCCCTGGAAGGGGTTGGTGTGCCCACACGCAGCCATGTAAAAGCGATGGGGTGGCTCTATGGCTGCCCGAATCACATTCAGTGAACAACCGGGAGCTGGCTGATGAGAAATGGAAGGAAGGCAAAAAAAAACCCTCACCACAGGATCCACTTCTGCCCACTGAACACCCACCTGTCACCCCAACCAGACCTCACGGCATCACCAGGAGGTCATCACCTGCGTGCTCATCCATCTCATCACACGTGAGTGCCCATTTCTCATTTCCACCCGCTTTCACCTGATTCACTGTTTTTTTCCCCTAGTCTATCCAACTCCACAAAGTTCGCACCATGTTCCCAGGTCCTGCAGAGGCACGGAAAAGCTTGAAAACCACGATGGGGGTTGCGGAGTGAGGGTGGAACACATACTGTATAGTAGAAGTGAACAGCTCTACAGCCATCAAGATCATGTGTACTCAAAAACCCTCCACCTGCATAAAAACAAGTAGATCATAGCTGCAGCAGTTTATTGCGCCCTAATATGTTCTCATAAGGATTTTTGAAATATGTGCAGGCACAAACATTTTTTAGTGACTTGTTTATGCTTTTCTTGTGTACATGCATATAATGTGTAGGTGCTCAAGATTTTTTTTCTAATCACTTACACACCCCAATCATGTCCCTATCTATCCTGCCAGGCTTTCTGTGCACCACTAAGTTGTTCAGCAAATCCCGTACAATAAAAAAAACCACAAAAAAATAAATTTGCAAGAAATAACTATGTGGTGTAAATACGGGCAGTCCCCGAGTTACATACAAGATAGGGACTGTAGGATTGTACTTAAGTTGAATTTGTATGTAAGTCGGAACAGGTACATTTTTTGAAGTGTAACTCAACATTTTTTAGTTTTGGATAGCATAGGGAAGGGTCACGTTTGTTTTGCTGTCTGTTCCCGTAGTTCAGAAGATTATAATATAATTTTTTTTTAAAAATTAATTTAAAATGACACACCAACTTCCGGTTCTGATGAGGTAGAAGTGTCTCCTCAGCTCTCTGTCCCGCTACGGCTTGGATCAACACCCGACTTCTTATCTGGCCATACCGCTCAAGTTGCTGACACCCGCTGATCTCCCGGACCTATTCGTATCTCAATCGTCCACGGCCAGACGCTCATTACAGGAGCTCTGTGACGGAGACGCCGCAGTCCACAAGATGGCGCTGGCTGAGCCCATGACACAGAGTGCACAGGGAGATTCGTCAGTTGAGATGACTCGCTTAAACACACAGTGCAGCATAGATTATAGCAGACTGGCTTCAGAGGTGGCCTCCCACCTGAAACATGATATTGCCACCATTATAGCGGATGCCATAAAACTTCAAATGGGCAACATAGCGGCCATCTTAGATACGCATCAATCGCAGCTGACAAACGCGGAAAACCGCATAAACAAATTGGAATGTCATTCCCAAGAAACACAAACATACCTTAAAGTGACATCACATAAGATGCAAATGCTAGCTTAAAAGGTAGATGACCTGGAAAATAGGTCACACAGAAATAATCTGCGAGTGATCGGCCTCTCTGAAGCAGTGAGACCTGGTGATCTTGCAGAATTCTGCGCTGATACCATCCCTCGAGCCCTAGGTCTCTCTCATTCATTTGTAGTGGAATGGGCACACAGATTAGGTGCATCCAGGGATGACGCTCGCCCAAGACCAGCCAATGTACGCTTTTTAAACTATGCAGATAAACAGCTGTTATTTCAAATATATCGCACTCAGCGGAATCTTGTGGCGGGAGGACACAAACTCCTATTATTTGCTGACTATTCGGCTGATCTCTCAAAACGAAGGAAAGCTTTCCAAGATGTATGCCAAATTCTGGTACAGCGCAGATTGAAGTTTGCTTTAGCATATCCAGCAACTTTCCGTATCACTGGCCAAGATGATACAGTTGCGTCTTTTGCATCACCTGATAAAGCTAGAATCTTTATTCAACATATGGAGGAGACTGGCTCTAGCTCACCCATCAAGAGCCCTCCTAGAAAAAAGAGGCCAGAAGCCAACTCTTGAACATATATGTAGATCCCACAGATTGATATCTGTATTTGCTCAAATTCTTTACTTAGGCGGGACGAATGGAGTGTCCGATTTTATTACTTCAAATGCGTTTCTCGCGGATTTTTGAGGCGGTCATATTGGCGATGCCTTACTTGTCCAGGGCTCGACCAACCACCTTCTTACTATGTACGCTCTCTAAAGAAAAAAGGAGGTCAACTACCAGATATCTCCTTACTCACAAGTTATTGCTACTTGCAGTTTTTTGTTTATTGTTCCTATTTTTGTTTTTTTGCATTTGAACCGGACATTCTTCTTTGGACTACACAGGGAATTCAGCATGGGGCACCCCTTTCAACCCTGTTCTCGCACAAATCTATTGCATTTTATCACTTCTAATCTTCCCTGCTGAAATTGCTGACATAGGATCGACCAGGGGCACTGGGACACCTGGTTATCCTTTCCATCATTGGTTGTTTCTTTTACATCTCTGGAGGTCTTCCTCTTCATTCTTCCCATGGGACCGCCATTGTAATTAATCTCGTGGAATGTGAAAGGTCTGAGATCGCCACACAAAAGGTCCAAAATCCTACGTCACCTTAAGAAGCTACAGGCTGATATATCACTTCTTCAGGAAACTCATCTTTCAAGCAAGGACATTCAACGCATGAAAAAATCTTGGGTGGGGCTTGCATGTGGTGCTCCTGCCTCAGGACGGAAAGCAGGGGTGGTCACTCTTCTCAATAAATCGCTCCCTTGTGATGTTCTTCAGCAACAACACGATATGCAGGACGGTCGCTGGTCCTTCATCTCCCTACGTATTGGCACCAGACATTTGGATATCTTAAATGTTTACGGGCCCAATTCGGACAATAAGCCTTTTTGCGAGTTCCTTTTATCCAAAGCTACCTCTCAACAACCTAATTCCTTCTTTCTGATAGGCGGAGACTTTAATGCTGTGCCATCTCCATCAGAAGATCGCCGACGGGATGATAGTTCACGCCCTACCTGGACTCCCCAAGACAAGCATTTTTCAACTATGCTCTCTGCTAGTGGGCTCGAGGATGCCTGGCGCTATTATCATCCCCTAGATAGAGATTACACGCACTATTCTCATGTTCATCATACTTTTTTGCGTATAGACTTATTCCTGGCTGCACCCTCCAGTATTCACTAGATTGAATCCATTTCTATTGAGGACATGGTGATATCAGACCATGCACCGATTGCTTTGTCCTTGCAGGGTCTGATATGTTCCACACCACCTGTGATATGGAGGTTTCCGACATATCTAATGTCTGATGAGGGCCTTTGCGCCAACCTTAAAATGTGGTGGCATGAGTATTACACTGACAACTTGCAACATCTCTCTAACCCTATTCTGTTTTGGGAAACTGCAAAGGCGGTGCTTAGGGGTAGAATCTTAGCCTATGCAGCGGTAAAAAAGAAATTGACAAAAGCACAATATAGCAGAGCATGTCTGGAGGTCAGACAGTCCTACCTTGCTTTTAAATCTAACGCTTCCGAAGTATTTAGAACGCGCTGGTTACTGGATAAACAAAAATGCGACCACTGGCTCCAAATCCTTGACCGACAAATTAGATCGGACAAAGATCTTGCTTTCTTTAAATTTGGTAATAAATCTGGCAAATTGTTGGCGAACCTAGCTAAGGGTCAAAGACCTTCATCCCACTTGACTCGTTTGTCCGATTCGGAGGGCAATATCCACGGTGACGCCAACAAAATATCTAAGATTTTTCGTGACTATTACGAATTATTGTACACAGCTAAATTCTCTGATCCTACAGGGGGCGATGATTTCCTTCAGTTGGAAGATTTGCCCTCTCTGTCGGCAGAAGACCTACTTACACTAAACAGAGAAATTACTGTTCAGGAAATTCAAAACATTATTAAAAAATCATCCCAAGCCAAGGCCCCTGACCCCGATGGCTTATCCAATGAATTCTATAAGATCCTCATAGGAGAAGCACCCCATGTTCTCACACCGCTCTTTAATCACATTCTCACCACCTCGGTTTACCCACCTACCTTTAACCAAGCTTACATACGTTTACTACCGAAAAAAGGTAAAGACCCACTTTTAGCTGGCTCATGTAGGCCAATCTCGCTGCTAAATCAGGACGCAAAATTTCTATCTAAACTAATGGCAGATAGACTGGCCAAGATTCTACCCTGCCTCATAGGAGAAAATCAGTCAGGTTTTGTGACAGGTCGCTCTGCGATATTAAATGTTAGAAAAATTGTTTTAGCCATGGAACATGTTCGGTTGTCGGGTCCTTCTCCGCGCCCCGTCGCTCTTTTTATCGTTGCACGCGGAGAAGGCCTTTGATAATGTTAACTGGCGTTGGCTCATGAAGGTATTGATGATGATGGGCTTCTCTGGTTCTTTTCTCAACTTTGTCTCTACTATGTACTCTTCTCCTTCCGCTCAAATTTATACCTCTACGATGCTTTCTTCTTCGTTCACATTACAAAAAGGTACACGCCAGGGATGCCCTTTATCCCCACTACTCTTTAATATTGTTCTAGAACCTCTCTCTCGCTTCTTGTCTTCACCCGGGGTTTTTACAGGCATTCCCATAGGCAAAGAAGAGTTCAAGTTGGCAATGTTTGCAGAGGATATTGTTCTAATTATCTCTGACCCTCGTTCGCAGTTACCTAAAATTTTTCAACATATCACTCTATATGGTCAGTTTTCGGGTTTGAAAAGCAAAATTATGTTTATTAACGGACAATGCCCTGCTGAAGATTCCCAATGGCTTAAACATTTTGGTTTACAATTAAAAACCCAATATATTACATACTTGGGTATTCACATCCCCCTACTGCCACTAATCTCTACTCTCTAAACATTTTACCAATCATCCAGAGTATAACTAAAGATTTACAAACCTGGCGAGAGTTGCCTTTGTCCTTTTTAGGCAGAGGTCACCTCATTAGGATGATTAGTTTCCCGCGCCTTTTATATCCTACGCAAATTTTGCCTGTCTTGCTCAAACATAAAGACATTAAAAATATTACAGATGCCTTCCTAAACTTTATTTGGAGGGGCAAAAAACATCGTATAGCCCTACAAAAACTTTACAAACCCAACCTTCAATTGGGTATTAATTTACAGAATATTCGGATTTACAACTTAACATGTCTCTATAGACATGTCAGGGATTGGTTATT